AATAGAATAGAATAAAAGATCGTGATCACCAGTTTCGAATTAAAAATACTGATAAAGTAAAGATCTAATAAAACTTTGCAAAAAAATGTTAATAAAATGAAAATTGTATATACAGTACTATAATAAAATGTTGAAGCCAAAAACGACTTACCTGTGACAAGGAAAAYTGTCGGTTTTGCCAAAACCTCACTGTTTTAGACGGTTATTTGAGATGTCTTTCAAAGCCGCCATTTTCTTTGACGAGCGAATTCCTTGACACATCCAACAAATATACAACTTTTTTCTGTCTGAAATACCACTGCTAACCAACCCTTAGACTCGCTGAGCATCATTTTAAACATTTTWAAGAGTTTTAACAGAATCGCTTCACTTAAAAGTGACTAACAGCGAGAGATTTTAGGACCATTCGATCAAACGCACATTTTTCGAAGCCGGCCATTTTGAAATGCCTCGTCTCCATGCGATTGAACGAGCAATCCGCGCGCATACCGGAGCCTGGAACCTAATGTCCAATAATGTTTTATAGTGTATAATTATTATTGTAGATTTCATATCAGAAGCAGTACCTTGCAGTCAACAATAAACACCATGGGCTCTCCTGTTACAATGTTGTGTGTCACAAAGTTCTTTTCTGCTGGTGTTTTGTCAAAATGCATCTTGATGAATTGTCTGTTTGTTTCTGCACCATCAAGAATGCACCAATAGATCCTAAAAACAACAGATAGCAAATATATAAACAATTGCATGTGATTTTTGTCACTTTTGTATTATTACAGTGCGACTACTCGAACCGGGGCCACCTAAAGAACGTGAAATAACTATTGTAATTATAGCTAAGGATTGCACACCATTTTGGTTAAAAAATCTTAAACCACTTACACAAAGTCATATTCAAACATCATTCTTACGCCTTCCCAAAATACAAAATGCAAATCACTTGGTGTACAGTTTCCTGATGGATATTGGGCAATAGGGAAACGAAAACCTCTGTCACTGAGGAAGATGAATTGTAGTACTTGTTGGGCAAGCTCACACTGTGGATCTTCATTTCCTGCAATTGGATAGGATTTGTAGTACATTTTTAGTCTATGTAGAAATGCTTAATAGAGTGCATTCAAAAACCATTACATAATTTGATTAGCATTGATTAAATTATAAAAGACAATTAACTGGTACTGATTTACAGTATAGATAAAGTTATATGTATTTCATGGGTTTATAGAGTTGTATTGTACATGCATGGATGAAACTAAAACAAGTACAAATTAGTCAGCCAAGATTTTGTTATTCATAAGGAAATACTTGAATCACACAATATTATTTGCATATAGGAGTTAGAGAGTTTAAAGTTGTTTTTAAAGCTTAAAACTTGATTTATTTATAAGTTCACCTGATAAAGTTGACATACTGTTGTGATTCTCACCCAGAAAGACAAACCCAACCAGTTTATGCTTTCCTTTTTCATAAGTCATCTCAAGATTTTCCTGTGAGATGAAATTAGCTCAGATATTTCTTTAAACATGGCTTATGCTTTTGGAGTGGCACAATGGAAAACTAAGTTTTGTATAAAAAGTTAATGCTAGAGTACAAACACTAAAAGTGTGCAACACATTGTACTAATTACTACTAAATAGGTCTAATAAACAATAGAAAACATTAGAATTAGCATAATTTATTTAGCAGTAGTTAGTGGTATTTAAACTGTACACTTTTAGTGTTTGTACTCTAGTTAACAGTTAAACAAATTTTGAATTTTCTATTTAAAAGTACTGTCTTCATTACAAAATATACTAGTTTCAACTGTGAAGTCGTTCCCTTTAATTTTAATAACTGCATATTTCTTTTTGAAGTACCTGGATTTTCATCTCATCAATGATGAGGCCACCCCAGTAGTCACATTCTTGCAGACCTTGTCGTTTTGCTTCTTGTAAGCACCATTTAAGCACTTGAGGGTTCCAGCCTGGACGTTGCTCAATTTTTGATTTGTACAGTCTAATAGAATTAAGGAGAGGTAATGTTATACTTGGCTATATTTAAACATTTCATCCAGTGAATATTTTCTAGCGTACCTTATTGTTCTTTGGCTTGGGAGGGTTATAAATTCCCTTAAGCTGTCCAGAACATGTGGGTTTTTACAATAGAGATCAAGACATAGGCGTATGATCCTTAAACAATAAGTAAAAATTAACATTAGGACACAGATATAGGGTGATAGAGATGAGGACCACATAACAGTAGTATGTTGGAGTAATAGACAAGAGAACTATTAACAATTTATTGGCTATATCTTTACGTAAATGTGGTAGAGTGATATCATGTTAGTCACTGATTATTATTATTAGGCGATTATTTATTAGTGTTATGCTCTAGAAAAGTACTATTAAAAGTACTATCAAATTTTGGTTAAAAGTGGGACCTCATTAGGCTGAGTGAATAGATCATTAAAATACTACAATCATATACATAACATAATTATTAAGTTAATATTTCTGTTAAACAATAACTCCTTACTTGGGGTGTCATCTGTAGCCTTTTGCAGACTTGCACTGATTGATTCTCAGCTGTTGCTCCCACAAGTATTTCATATCTGGGGGTACTTTCTCAGCATCAATGCCATTGAACATTGATTCTATATCATGACTGTCTCTGTCATCCATTTCAATCACAAGACTGTCAAATTTCTCTCGCCAGTACCTTTCTCTACTCTCAACAGATTTTCTTTTTCTTGCTCGTCTTTCAGTTTTTCAATAAGTTGCTCATTAGTTAGCCAGCGATTGTTGGTGCTTGGGTTGATGGTGGTCTTGTCACGTTTTCCCTTTTTTTGCTGTTGCCTGGAAAAGTTGTAACAGTTCTTGCAAAATTTTGCTTCATGGGATGAAGGGCAAAACAGTAAACAATCTGAGGCGAAAACTCTTGTTTGTTCATTTTTATAGCCTACGGATAAGTCTCTAAAAGGACCTTTAACATGGGGAATAGTGCTTTGGGAAGTTGATTGAAGCTCAACGAAGCCTTCACATGGTTTTGCCGTTTCTATGAAGGCCATCAGCAGCTTCACTTTTTGCATGTTATCTTTTTTACATGTGTTCAGGGGAAATCCCGCATCCACTTTTACGCAGCGGCCCCCGCTTTTTACATGAAGGATAGTTTTTGCGCTTTCTTCGCATTCTTGGATCCTTATTTCATGAGCAAGGCGATGGCCATTAAACTCAAAGGTGGTACTGTAAATTAAGCTTGCATTGCAAGGATTGACTTTCATTAAATGCCAACCACTTTGTAGCGGCATTGTTTTCCAGTTAATTAGCGTCTGGGTTTCTCGGTCGTCGACAGTGTCAGTGGCGGTGTTGAGTTTCAATTTTAAATTTTGGTAGGCGTTTTAAAAAACGGCGATCTCTCGGTCCTTTCTTCACAAGTTTAACCTTGTGTCCAAAGACATGTTTAACAATTCTTCCTAGTGTGGAAGCACATAATTCTGTCTGGAAGTTCTCTTTCTCCGCGGCTGCTTGGTTTATAATGGAGCTGACTGGAATTGCTGCCCCAACTTCAAATTCATAATTATCGATAAACCTGGAACAAACCCAAACATTGAAATAAAAACCAAAAAGAACATTTCATGATATAACTAAAATTCAATTTTAACCAGAAGAATTGATTGCTTATAGAACTGCTGATGACAAAGTGTACCTTTAAAGGCCTAACATAGAACGTCGATCCAAAATTATAAACACAACAAACTATCGATCTATCGTGAAATTACAGTAACAAGATCACACGAGAAGACATATCTGAATTTTTACTTCACTTCTATAGTAATATTTTCGTTGATTGTTATAATTCGAAATCGGAATAAGCCTTTAGACTTAAGCTTTACAAAAACACGATGCTTTATATTTTCTCGTGAAGCGGCCTTATTACTACTTTACTACTGAATAATAACTTCCAAAATGTTCAACTTACCATATCTGCCACTCTAGAACGGGACTCAACTTTGATCTCTTATGCAGTGGTTTCATTTTAGTTCAAAAACATAATAAACTTACCGGTGAATTTAACTCAACCTACAACTTACAGTAACGGCAAATTTGAAATATATAGCAAGACCAGCCTGTCCCCGAGGTACATAGTCGGTTACTTGTACTCACGAAAGCGAGGCAATTCCGTTGGTGTCTTCGAAGAAAGTACCGTACGATGGTAGGCTGCATTACTTTGATGTTGTGAGCGAAATACCTCGAGAAATAATTCTCACTGGAGGGTGAAATTTTAACCCAAGGAAGAATAGGTATTTGATCGCAAGCTGGACGGCGATTCGGGTTGATTGCCGAAAGAGAAAGTGCGTTTTGACCGCGATGACCAGAGGCAGTTGGCGCTGGCCGTGCTGAACACCCCTGCCTTGTAATTTTTTCTTACGTGGGGGGAGAAAATATAAAAACAGCTTTAAAATTAAAATTTTATTCAGAAAAAATATCGTAACTACATAAGGATCCATTTTGTGAAGAAAAAAAAA